TTTATTATATTCATACTGCTTTAGGAATGCATCAACCAAATCTTTCCATGAGTAGATATGAGTCGTTTCCAAGCGCATGTACCAAGTTAGAGCCACGTCAGTTAAACTTTCTTAGAAGAAGTGAATCAAAAGTTTTTCATCGTGGGCATAAGCTGCCATTTTTTTGCAGTACATGGTTATGTAGCTCCTTGGGCAAGTATTTCCCCGATATTTCTCAAACTCTGGCAACTTTAACTTTTGAGGTATCACCACATCAGGAACTAAACATAGTTTTCTAGCATCTCCAAATTCAAAACTTCCTTCGCCCTCTATGGCTCTCAACCTCTTCTCAAAGACTTCTAATTTACTATATCGTCCTTAAAATCCGCTGGTGTAACGACACAAGTTGAAGACATCGTCTCAGGTTGTTTTGTCATCACCACGCTCGCAATACCTGTCTCGGTTGTCTCCCTAGGAATTATGGCAATGGTTGCCCCGAGCTTGTCTTCTACTTCAACTATGTTATCTTCGGCCTTTCGAGTGTCAACATGTCCCATGTCCACTGCTGAGGGTGGAGTGTAATTCGGGGGAAGACCATAAGGAGGGAGATTTTGTGCCTCTGGAACTCTTCGTTGTGGTCGTGGTGTGCACGAATCTCCAGGGCTTTGTAAGGCATTCAGGGCCTCTAAGAATTGACTCATTTGTCCCTTCAGCTGTTGGATATCGGCTTTCATTCCCTCTTGAACTTCTCCTTGGTTCTCCATGATTTTGCCACTGGCTTGTGTCCTTTAGGGTGTCTTGGAGACTTAGCCGTATAATTATTTTTAAATTGAATTTCATTAGATGAAATAAATTAAGAAAAAGAAAATAAAAACAAAAAGAAAAAGAGAAAAGACAAAGTAACACAATTACTATAGTAAGAAATTATAAAGATGTGAAAACATTGCCAAATGTATAATCTGGAAATTAACATGAAACAAAGTCAATAGGACAGTCAATCCACAACATTTAAGTTCACCACATGTGAGGTATACAACGACATGATCAACTATCATGAGCTTTAGCTATCAGATTCCTTATTTCTCTCATCAGTTTCTTGCAGTAATTGAGGAAAGTTTCAACCTTCTTAGGTGGGTTAAAGATCGACATTGCAGACTCAGCATCAGATAATAACTTAGGGACATCCTTAATGGCTTCATTAGCAAGGGAAGCTAGCTGTGAGAAACTTCTCTTCCAATTCTCTATAACTCGCCCTTGTTCAACGCTATACTCCTTCATCTGATTCATCAACTCTTGATGTTTCTTTTCTGATTCAGCCCGATGCCAACATACCTTCTTCAGTTTTGTCACCGCTGCTTTCGCTTGTTGTTCGGCGTCGTCCATTCTAATATGCATTTTGTGCAGCTCCTTTAGTGCTTTTTGCTTGTCCCTCTTGAATTGGTCACACAATTGCTTCGTAACACGCTCTGATATCTCAATTATACCATATTCCTGGTCTTTCAAGGTTAGCTCAATGTTAGCCGCTACCAGCTCTTGCTTTTGTCTTCTTAACAACTCCTTGTATGCTTCGCTGTTTTCCACACTATCTTGCTTAAGATTCACATAATCATGTTGTAGGTTGTGAAGATTACTGGTCAACTTGATATTTTCTAGTTTCATTCGCTCTAATTCTTCCTTCAATAGTTGTACCTCCTCACTTTCAACCTCATGAAACCGCTTTTCACAATCCAAGTTAGGAGAAATTAACTTGAAAGGCAACTTCACTGTCCTAACCCTCTCTGCAATCCAATGACTATAAGGAATTCCTTCATCAATAGTCCATGGTCTGGGGTCCCTTTCCGCACGAACAATGTTGCCCCAAGCATTCCTAACTTGATGAAGCACTTCAACAAAGGTTCCTTCCTCATAATAGATCTGCAATATGGCAAGAGATGCAGGTGTAGGTGATCCTCTCATAGGACGCCCAAATTGCCTTTGTGCTAACACAGGATTGTAATTAATACAACACCTGATACCCATGAGGGGTACATTAGGGTACCTCCCGCAATGATATATGATTTGTGATCTACGCTGCCAAGGGACACACCATTTAATCTGCTCCTCATTTAAACTTGCACAAAGTTGCGCCCATTCATTTGCCCCTTTCACATTTGGTTTACACTGCAGTAGCTCATCCATGGGACACGTGGCATTCAAGGCGTCCTCACTCACACGGGAGATGAACCACGTATACAACACTGGTAGACAGCATAACATTTTTCCTCCCTTTAGCTCATAACAACGATTAAGGGTCCCATAAACTTCAGCCAGGATAGCAGTGACCGGATTCTCACAGCGCTCTTTGTATCCCACAAATGCATTCATGGCGGCATAGTCGACGAAATTCTTGACATTAGGAAAAAGCATGACACCATAGAGGAGAAGAGCCAATACATCCATAAATGTTTCCCAGTTTTCCTCTTCAGCCAAACGATGCAAGTATCCCTTTAAGTATGCTTGAGAAAGGACCCTCACTTTGTCCTTGATTGTAAACTTGGTCTCCAACTTCATAGGGTGTACTTTTATGATCCTCGCTAGCTGCAAGACAGGGGTATACTGCCCAAGGTAGTTGTATGGAGCTTTTCCCTCGAGAGGTATGTTTAAGATTTGCTCGAATTCTTCCACTGTTGGCACTAATTGNGATATAAAAGCTTATTAAGAAAGACACCCACGCATGGATTTGATGAAGTGGAAGTAGTCCTAATCTTCCTTGGAGGTCTTGGTTCACAAACCAAGATGATGCTTGACGCCTCAGCAGGAGGAAATATCAAATGGAAAACTCCAGAGGAAGCTACAGAAATCATTGATAATATGGCTACTAGTGATAATGAACTAAACAGTGAAAGAGGAGCTCCTACTCAACAAAAAGGAGTTCTACAGTTACAAACCCATGATGCCTTGCTAGCACAAAACAAGATACTAACTCAACAACTAGAGACTCTTACAAAAACACTTGCACAACTGCCAAAAGAGTTAAAGACTGTTGCACAGGCTCAATCACAGTTGTGTGAATTATGTGGAGGTGACCATATCAATGGTTAATGCGCTTTTCCAGCAGAAGCCTTAGAGGATGTTAACTTCATGGCCAATCAATACCGTCAGGGGAATTTTAATCAAGGGTGGAAACCACACCCAAGCATTGGTCACGGACAAACTGGGCAAGCCGGACAAACTGGGCAATTTAACAAGCAACAACAACAACCAACCTTATGGCAACAGTTTTCTATACTTAATGAAAGATCAATAAGGATGGAAGAAACTCTTCATCAGTTCATACAGAAAACTGATTCTACTCAAAAGAGCGATGAAGCTGCTATTAAGAATTTGGAGATTCAAATGGGTCAGACTACCAAGCAGTTGGAAGAGAGGTCAGACAAAAATTTTGGGGCTAATACTGAGGTTAACCCCAGAGAAGAATGTAAAGTGTTGGAGAGTACAAATGATGAGACAGTTGAGTTAGAAAAAGGATAGATAGAAAAAGAAGAGAGAGAAAAGAGAGAAAAAGAAAAAGAAGAGAGAAAAGAGAAAGGAGAGAGAAGAGATATAAAGAGTAATGATACTTTTCCTTTTCCGATCAATCAAGAGAAACAATTTGATTTTACAGAATTATTCAAGATGGTGGACAATGATGTACCTTGGAATCAGATATTACAATAAATTGCAGTTTATACTACACCTGAGGACGAAGTCTCTACAAAGAAAAGACGTCGAGATGATGATACAAAAAAGTATAAAGTTGTTCATGTGTTCATAAAATGGTGGTTGTAGAGTATTCAGAAATATGGTAGTAGTATAAAATGGTGGTTGTAGAGTATTCAGAAATATGGTAGTCATCTCCTTGTCACTAGAGGTGGCTATACTTGAGCAACAATTTCTCTCCACCTTTGGGCATATTCTCTGAATGATTCAGACTCTTTCTTCACCATGTTTTGCAGTTGTACTCTATCAGGTGTTAGATCTTTATTATATTCATACTGCTTTAGGAATGCATCAACCAAATCTTTCCATGAGTAGATATGAGTCGTTTCCAAGCGCATGTACCAAGTTAGAGCCACGTCAGTTAAACTTTCTTAGAAGAAGTGAATCAAAAGTTTTTCATCGTGGGCATAAGCTGCCATTTTTTTGCAGTACATGGTTATGTAGCTCCTTGGGCAAGTATTTCCCCGATATTTCTCAAACTCTGGCAACTTGAACTTTGGAGGTATCACCACATCAGGAACTAAACATAGTTTTCTAGCATCTCCAAATTCAAAACTTCCTTCGCCCTCTATGGCTCTCAACCTCTTCTCAAAGACTTCTAATTTACTATATCGTCCTTAAAATCCGCTGGTGTAACGACACAAGTTGAAGACATCGTCTCAGGTTGTTTTGTCATCACCACGCTCGCAATACCTGTCTCGGTTGTCTCCCTAGGAATTATGGCAATGGTTGCCCCGAGCTTGTCTTCTACTTCAACTATGTTATCTTCGGCCTTTCGAGTGTCAACATGTCCCATGTCCACTGCTGAGGGTGGAGTGTAATTCGGGGGAAGACCATAAGGAGGGAGATTTTGTGCCTCTGGAACTCTTCGTTGTGGTCGTGGTGTGCACGAATCTCCAGGGCTTTGTAAGGCATTCAGGGCCTCTAAGAATTGACTCATTTGTCCCTTCAGCTGTTGGATATCGGCTTTCATTCCCTCTTGAACTTCTCCTTGGTTCTCCATGATTTTGCCACTGGCTTGTGTCCTTTAGGGTGTCTTGGAGACTTAGCCGTATAATTATTTTTAAATTGAATTTCATTAGATGAAATAAATTAAGAAAAAGAAAATAAAAACAAAAAGAAAAAGAGAAAAGACAAAGTAACACAATTACTATAGTAAGAAATTATAAAGATGTGAAAACATTGCCAAATGTATAATCTGGAAATTAACATGAAACAAAGTCAATAGGACAGTCAATCCACAACATTTAAGTTCACCACATGTGAGGTATACAACGACATGATCAACTATCATGAGCTTTAGCTATCAGATTCCTTATTTCTCTCATCAGTTTCTTGCAGTAATTGAGGAAAGTTTCAACCTTCTTAGGTGGGTTAAAGATCGACATTGCAGACTCAGCATCAGATAATAACTTAGGGACATCCTTAATGGCTTCATTAGCAAGGGAAGCTAGCTGTGAGAAACTTCTCTTCCAATTCTCTATAACTCGCCCTTGTTCAACGCTATACTCCTTCATCTGATTCATCAACTCTTGATGTTTCTTTTCTGATTCAGCCCGATGCCAACATACCTTCTTCAGTTTTGTCACCGCTGCTTTCGCTTGTTGTTCGGCGTCGTCCATTCTAATATGCATTTTGTGCAGCTCCTTTAGTGCTTTTTGCTTGTCCCTCTTGAATTGGTCACACAATTGCTTCGTAACACGCTCTGATATCTCAATTATACCATATTCCTGGTCTTTCAAGGTTAGCTCAATGTTAGCCGCTACCAGCTCTTGCTTTTGTCTTCTTAACAACTCCTTGTATGCTTCGCTGTTTTCCACACTATCTTGCTTAAGATTCACATAATCATGTTGTAGGTTGTGAAGATTACTGGTCAACTTGATATTTTCTAGTTTCATTCGCTCTAATTCTTCCTTCAATAGTTGTACCTCCTCACTTTCAACCTCATGAAACCGCTTTTCACAATCCAAGTTAGGAGAAATTAACTTGAAAGGCAACTTCACTGTCCTAACCCTCTCTGCAATCCAATGACTATAAGGAATTCCTTCATCAATAGTCCATGGTCTGGGGTCCCTTTCCGCACGAACAATGTTGCCCCAAGCATTCCTAACTTGATGAAGCACTTCAACAAAGGTTCCTTCCTCATAATAGATCTGCAATATGGCAAGAGATGCAGGTGTAGGTGATCCTCTCATAGGACGCCCAAATTGCCTTTGTGCTAACACAGGATTATAATTAATACAACACATGATACCCATGAGGGGTACATTAGGGTACCTCCCACAATGATATATGATTTGCGATCTACGCTGCCAAGGGATACACCATTTAATTTGCTCCTCATTTAAACTAGCACAAAGTTGCGCCCATTCATTTGCCCCTTTCACATTTGGTTTACACTACAGTAGCTCATCCATGGGACACGTGGTATTCAAGGCGTCCTCACTCACACGGGAGATGAACCACATATACAACACTAGTAGACAACATAACATTTTTCCTCCCTTTAGCTCATAACAACGATTAAGGGTCCCATAAACTTCAGCCAGGATAGTAGTGACTGGATTCTCACAACGCTCTTTGTATCCCACAAATGCGTTCATGGCGGCATAGTCGACGAAATTCTTGACATTAGGAAAAAACATGACACCATGGAGGAGAAGAGCCAATATATCCATAAATGTTTCCCAGTTTTCCTCTTCAGCCAAACGATGCAAGTATCCCTCAGGTATCCTTGAGGAAGGCCCCTCACTTTGCCCTTGATTGTGAACTTGCTCTCCAACTTCATAGGGTGGTGTACTTTCATGATCCTCGCTAGTTGCAAGACAGGGGTATACTGCCCAAGGTAGTTGTATAGAGCTTTTCCCTTGAGAGGTATATTTAAGATTTGCTCGAATTCTTCCACTGTAGGCACTAATTGGAAATCCCGAAAAGTGAAACATCTCAGTGGTGGATCATAGTACTAGGCTAAAGTAGTAATTGCTGATTTTTGAACTTCCACCTCTAACATGCTCAACAAATTCTCATACTCCTTCTTGAATGCATCCTTTTGGGATGTCTTCATTTTCTTTACGAGTTCTCTCAGACCATCCATATTTCCTTCCTCTGCTTCAATGGCTATCCTTTCCTTTAAAATGTTTGAACTTGAAGGCCGGTCAACTTCAAATCTCATGTTAATTTCCATTTTACCTCAAGTGCTTTTTCACAAATTTATAACTTCCTACCTAGAACCAACAACAAGACCATAAAAATGCATGAGAAAGACGCATAATGATATAGTGATATGTACAAATTGTTTAATTTTATTAAGCAAAATTAACGGTTATAAGACGACACACATCTCCCTTTGTGCCCTAGGAAGGTTCAACGGGTAAGATTCAAGGTTAGGTACATGCAATCTCATAAGGATGGTTCCCTGAGCCTAAATATCAATGGTCACTAGAGCTATTCCCCCTTCACAGCATCTCCACAACATACAAGTAATCAACTAGGTGTGAAAACACAAATGAAGAGAACAAACTCTAGTTGGGGTTCTCGCGATAGCCAAACAGGAAGTATGTCCCAAGTGGCACCACTACACAACCCCTCTAATTCTAAGTTACACTCGAACTCGGGTATAGGGTCTCAATCATGATATGCATAGTGTCCATGTGTGAAGGGAGAATGCAATGCATACCCAAACCCCCACCTGCAAAACAACCAGAAAATTCTCCCAGGCAGATATAAGCATGTCATCTATTCTAGGATTCAATATCCAACAATTATTTCAAACATAGAGAACAAGTAAAAGAACTCACATGCAATTATTCCAAATATCAAACATAGATAAAGAAAAAGAGAAGAAACACGTAGAATTCACGCATCTAATTAAATGGCCTGACTCTCTAGATTCCCCAGTGGAGTCGCCATCTGTCGCAACCGGAATCGCGACGGCACGATGATCCAAAAAAGAAACGTGTTTTGAAAAAGAGATTTGGAGTCGCCACCATAGTTTATTCTGGTAAACTATGGAAAAACCATAAAAGGATAAGGCATGGTCTACGAAAATGAGATTATGGGTTCGGGAGTCGGTTACGCGTAGGGAAGGTATTAGCACCTTACAACGTTTGCTCTCGAAGGCAGTACCTTTAACTAAATACGCGAATGTTATGTGGTTTTCAAAATGTTTAATTATCCCCTAAAATAAAACTCTAAAGAAACAAAATATATTTTTTATTTTTTTGGGCCCGACAAGTATTGACCTTGCTCCTATGTATTCTTATTCAGAATGAGAAATCAGGGTTACGTAGTTCTTTTGGAAACTATTTGGAAAGTTTGTTTAGAGAATTGTTTGAGAATTTTGTTTGGAAATGATTATGGATAATTTTGGATTTTTGGGAAGTGAACCTGACAAAGACTAGCCTTGCTCCTACGTATCTCCACTTTTGATGGAGAATCAAGGATCATGTAGTTTTGGCTGAAAGATTGCTTGTTAAAAATGGATGTTTTTATGGGCGAAAGATTGTTTATTCAAAATGGATGTTTTTAGTTTTTGAAGGTTTTTTCATTTTTGGTATTTTTTATAAAAGAAAGAGGAAAGGTTTTTAGCACAAGGATGATGCAAGTGATCACACGTATGCTTAACATTTAAAACATATTTTTGGTATTCTTTTATAAAAGAAAGAGAAAAGGTTTTTAGCATAAGGACGATGCGAGTGATCACACGTGTGCTTAACCTTTAAAACGTATTTTGGTATTTTTTTTTATAAAAGAAAGAGAAAAGGTTTTTAACAGAAGGACGATGCGAGCGGTCACACGTGTGATTAACCTTTAAAACATATTTTTGGTATTTTTTATAAAAGAAAGAGAAAAGGTTTTTAGCACAAGGACGATGCGAGCGATCACACGAGTACTTAACCTTTTAAAATGTTATTTTTGTTATTATTACTCTTTTTTGTAGTTTTTATGTATTTTTCATGTAATATTTAATGGGTAGATATTTAAAAACAAAATAAAAGTCAAAAAATAAATTAATTAAAATAAAAAGAACAAAATAACAAAGTGCAAATAGGATACAAGTAAACCTAAATAAAAGGAAGAAATAAAACAAAAATTATGGGGTGTGAGGTTTAGCAGAAATCGAATGGGCTTAAGCCCAAACAAAATGGGGGTGTAAGAATGAAATTGGAGGTGCACTTAGTATTTGCTGGTCTAGGCCCAAGGCCTTCTTCTCAACAGAAACATTAGGGTTCTGCCCTTTCTTTCATTTGTGCTCAAACCCATGAGACTCAGGGTCTCTTTCTTTGGATGAAACATCCTAAGAAGGAGCTTGACTCCCCTGTGCACACTTGCCTCCACCCCCATCAGACCAGCCACTGCGACAGAGTCTCTACTCAGTCCACAGTGTCGCCGGTGACATCAAACGTCGCCGAAGCTATTGCCGGCCGCGAATTCAGATTCCTCTCTTTTCTCTTCTTTGCTCGCAAATAGGGAGACCCTTTTCCTCTCCTTCACGTTCGAGACTACAGCCACCAACGAAACCGGTCTCCATCGCCGCTGCTCATAAAGCCAAACTCTACGATCCTATGCTGGGAGCAATCGCGCCCATTCACAGTTGTTCAAACACTCACCCTCTCCTCCTCTTACCGATCAAACCCTAACTCCGAGAACCGCCCGTTCCTGCCACCGCTTGACGCCGATGACTGTCTCTACTTCGGCGTCGTCAGCCTTGGAGGCCGTCACTGACGCTACCCTCTCACCTTCCCCCTTTGAATGTGGTTCACTCTTTCCCAGGTTCACCATTATGAATCGTGACTCCTCGCCGGTGCTGCCGCTCACCGTCGCGACACCACCATACCACAACGTCGTGACTGGGAATGCCTCTGTCTTTGCGTGGAAGTAGCCCTTGGGATTTTTAGTGGGTGATGTTTTTGGGGTGGTTACGGGTGTATGAATGATGATGGTGTTAGAAAACGTGGTGGACGTAGAGGTTTTTGGTCAGAGGTGAATGATGGATGCTGTTGGAGGTGAGGAATTGGGAGTGAAAAGGAAATGTGGTTGGGGTGGTTACGGGTTAGAGGAGCAGAGGAGTGGAGAGCAAAATGGGAGAGCGTGTATGAGTGTTCGTGTGTGAGGGAGGATGGTGCTGCCTCTGCTAGTTGGAGGAACGGTTTCGGAGGGATTTCCTGATTCTCTTGGAGCTTAGGCGAATGATGGTTTAAGATTGGGTGATGGAGAATGGAGTCACACAACAATCATACACAACCATACATAACATAGCAAGTAATATTCACAACAACAAGTGAAAGCTGAGATATCAAATGTAGCAAACAACTCACTAAAAACATGATGACAGATGTGTAAGGTTGTTTACCTCTTGAAGCTTGGTTCCCTCTTTATTAACCCCGTGCCTCAGATGGATTATTCTTCCTTGTGGCTGACCTTCTTTTTTCCAGTAGTGTGTCAGTGAATGATGGTTGGTGAGAATGGAGAGTCTTATAGTATAAGAGGACCTTTGCAGCTTCAAGAAAAAATGTTTTTCCTTTTGTTCTAGTCTCCTTTGCTCTCTTGGATTGAATTTCCTTTAGGTTACAAATTTTCTTACAAGTGCAAGAAATTTATGGCGAACGTGAACAAGTCTTCCTAGAAGACAACAAAGGTCAAGGGAGTTGAAAGAACAAAAGGTTTTTTTTTCGCTCCTGTACTGAGGCTGCCCCCTTTGAAAAAAGATCATGAAGCAATTTGATTCCAACAAACGCTCCTCTCTGCCACACTGCTTTCGGGAAGATCAGGGCATATCCTTTGACTTGTGATTTCCTCCTTGTCTTTTTCCTTCTTTGTGTTTAAATTAGATCAATTGGGAAAAGCCATTCAGATATCCTTTCCCTCTTTGATGTATGATTGTAGCTCTACGCAGGGATTTTCAGGCTTGTACACTGTGAGCACCTTGTTGCAGGGGAAACAATCTTCTATATCAAGCATGCTGTGAGCTGTGGTATGTTGCAGGAAAGAGAGCTCAACTCGTGCTTGCCTTGCCTAGACTGAGAATGGGGAGAAGCACAAGTCTGTTATTCCTAAAAGGCTTAGTTGACTGTTGTGTTTTCTTTTTTTTTAGATTTTTTTGTTTTGTTAACGTTTAACATAAAAATTAAAACAAAAGAAGATAAAAATAAAACTAAACAACAAAAAGAAACTAATGTGTTTTGTTAACGTTTAACATAAAAATTAAAACAAAAGAAGATAAAAATAAAACTAAACAACAAAAAGAAACTAACGAAAA